ACCCATACTTTTAATTTTTCAGCACCATTATTCGCCGTAGTTGACCAGGTGTTTTTCTTCAGCTCTCCCCTGAATCCTTTGGCTTAGACCTGGCGTATCACCCGTGCATCGCAAGACGCATCTACCACACACAAGTTCATGATCCCCACGAACCCACATCAGCGTCCGTTCGCTTGGTGTGTAACCCCTTGACCTTTGGCCGCGACAACTGCCAGCTTGCTGGAGCACCCCTCCCTACACGCGCTGCCCCGCCCGCTCCCCTCCTTCCCCCCCCCCGCCGGGTCGTGTCACGAAGGTTCGGGCTTACGCTACTACCGGCCGCTGCGCAGCTGCCACCTAGCGCTTGGGAATGTGTGGTCTGGTGCGGATTCAGCCAACTACCGGCTCGCGACACCAGCGCCACGTAGTGGCGACGGTACATTCTTTTTAGACACACTGTAGGTCTTGGGGCTGGCAAAGACTGATGAAATCCTCAGGGCTCAGGGCCAGTCTTTTCAGCATGAGGACTAGGCGGGTTGAGTGAGCCCCAATAGAGCCGTTACGAAGCCCGCAGGAGTCGCGCGCGGCCCTCAGATGCCAATTTTGAAAGGCAGGAACATTTGGTCTCCAGAGGTAGGTCATCGAAGATAATTGCGTTTTAGGCAAGCTGAATTTACTTTTTGTGAAGTTTTTTGACTGAATTTTTGGTAAAAGCTTCTCAGATCATGATTTCATGTAATATGGACACAAAAACAATCGGTGCACACATCAGTATACACACAGACATACACAGACATACAACCACATTTAATTGACCTTGACCTAACTTGACCTGAAATGACCTCAGCAGCAAAACTCTGGTCGGGTAGTGTGACAAAGAGGTTCTAGCTGGCTTGGCACCAAAAAACAGCATCGTCATCGGTATATGATAAGCAGCGCACTTGATATCCAACGGTGACCCAAAACAGCAACATTTTTTAGTTTGACCTGACCTGGAAAGTCAATGACTGACCTGAGAAGGTAAAACTGGGTATCATTGGATTTGTCTCTTCCCAAAGAATGTTTTTGGTCTTTACCACTAAGCTCTATCTCCAACAGAAATGAAATGGCGCGGGGGTGGTACCCCCCCCCCCCCCCCATGTGCGTTCTAGGATGGGAAAATGGCATGTGCGGGCGAGGGTTAAAGGGACCCTCCCACCTTAACATTAGATTTGAGTTGAGATAGCCAAAATGGGGTCCCTGGCTCACAATTACCGGTTTCGGCACTCACAACATCGAGAAATGCCTTAAAGGTAGTGTGCCACCTTTGAAAGATTTCCCATTTTATTTTTCCTAGGATAAGAAGCTTCTGTTTTTACCTAATATCGCAAAAAAAAAATCAAAAATGGGCCTGGAATTGTGCCTTTTTCGCCTAAAAGTTTTTCGGTTTTTAGATATGTATAACAACTGTAGTGGGCTCACCTGCAAACAGGCGTCGGGCAACAATCGCGAATGCGGCGCACTTGTGACAATAAGCAAAGGTCATTATAGTGTTACGACCATACGACGTACGGGAATGAGTTATCAGCTGTCTAATCGTAGACAACACAATGTCGAGCCTTAAACTGTAAGCCCGTATTGGTATTGTTTCTTTTATTTGGCTGTCGAACATTATTTATGGTTTGAAATATGATTTTATGTAAAATAATTGATATGAAAAAGCCGTCTTATAAGTTATGACCCCATTTCACCACACGCAAGTGGCAGAAATGACAATGATCAGCTGACGCATTTTTCTTGGCCGAAGTCAGAGCGCGCGACCCGACGCACCACGCGTATTTGGAAATTCCGACCTCGACGAGCATCAGAAGCCACCTAACAGGCGTGTTCGAAACCGCAGGAGATGATGATGAACGGGTTTATCGAAACTTGATTGGATGAGCATATCGGTAATAGCGATTTCAGTGTGTGCATTTATTGTTCATAGTGGTGTGAAATGTGGTTGGGGTACGACCGACAACCCGTCGGGGCGAATTTCGCACTGGGGTACTCAAAATTTGAAGAATTTAAGACGTTTCCATGAGTTTTGAAGGTATGGATAAGTTCTAAAAATCCGGTTCTCCTTATCTGGGCCATTAACTCCATACGGTCCAAGAAAGCTGGCACACTACCTTTAAATCGGAAATATTGAATTTCAAAATTGCAGCATTTTGATTCAGAGGGGCTAATGCTTAGGAATACCCCTCTGAATGTGTGACGTCAGCGCAGATTTCTAACGATTTTTAAATGTTTGACTAAAACGTTTTGTAGTAGGGGAGAGTGGGGTGGGTTGTATCAGTTTTTACACCGAGACCCATAAACTCGTAACTGTCCGTGATAAACTCATTATTTCCATACTGTCCCCTTCCTTGATTCTTCTGCTTTTTTGTGCAAAGTAACTTTTCCGCTACCTCTACCAGTTTTTCTTTTACGGTCTGCCGAATAGAACAATGTTTTTGATACAACTTGCCCCATGGCTTGGGTGAGTTGTATCACATGGTGGGGTAATTTGTATCACTATTTCACGTTTCAGGGAGTGTGCTTGCTACTGGTTTTGAACATAACAGCAACATTAAATGGGGTTAATACAATGTATAGGTATGCTCAAAGGCTTCACTTTATTAGACCAAACTTAGGTCAATGCAATCCGAACGAAACATCAACAGACTAGACGCAAAAGTGGCCCGTTAAGAGCAAAGAAGCCAACACATTGTGCCGAAATGGAACGAGCATTGACTAGCTACCTACAAACGCGAGCCAGGGCTTAGCTTTCGCGATTAAAAGCAACATACCCATGCATACATACATACATACATGTTACAACATACCCCACCCGGCTCTGATACAACATGTACCTAGCCGCCATCTTGGAAAAACATCCTCGTGCTAAAAAAAACAGCGGACAGCTGGAGAAATCCGTTTTCACTCACGCAGCCTTAGAACCTACCCTCACCACCGCTACGGAGATCTTTCAAATTCGTGCACATCTAAATGCCCAAAACACACATTTTCTTGCAACTTATTTTTTTTAGAATGACATTAAAAAAAAACATAAAATCGGCTCTCACCTCGAGACGCGTCCACTCAGCCACAAGACAGAACAGGGAAAGATGGCGCCCGGAAAACCTCGTCGGCTGGTCGTGTCGCGAGCGCCATCCATTGGATAAGTTTGGCACAATTCGCCCTGATACAACTTGGACATGATACAACTCTCCCCGCTCTCCCCTACACGGTGGTATATGCTATTTGCGCGCAACATCTGCCGCAAACGCCGCACTTCTAAAATAAAGTCGCTAGAAACAGCGGAGATCCCAAAAAGTAAACAAAAGTAAAAGTCTAATATCTTGAAAACCGGTGAATATTTTTTCGGTGAAATTTGGTAGATATTCGTTTTCGCTCTTTCTGAACCGAGCGACATCACTTTCATGCCAATTCATAAACTTTTTTGAAGGTGGGAGGGTCCCTTTAATTAAAATGAGATGGTTGTTGTCTGCGGTGCATGGTTATTTTTCTTAGCGCGTGTCATTAATCGAAAATGGCCGCAGGTGGGGCAAGATGAGCCATTTTCACCTGGGGAAGATGAGCCGGATAAGCCATTGTTGTCTCCGCTGTCGAAAACCAAACTGAGCTGCGCTTGTTTCTACTGAATAAAAATTGTAGGGAAAAATGACCTGAATATTTCCTCAATTATTTTTGACGCCCTTTCGAATGCCGCTTACCGCGTGTCGCTGCGTGGTCCAGGAGCCGAGTTAGACGGGGGGAGGGCGTGAAATCGCCCCCCCCATTACGACACGGAAAAATCAGGCCACCAGCACGGCGCGGGTTAAAGTTTCGTCGTGCTCGGCCGCTTTTTGCATGAGTTGTTTGTGAAAAACCGAAGGGGTTCCGTTTGAACCCCTATAAACGCGAGGCTTAATGTAGCGGCGTAGGCCGAGCTTGAATCGACACTGCAGCGACAGACGAAACTCAGCAGGTAACATACGGACACCCCGCCATGTGTATCAGCCCGCGGCCAGGTGTATGTGTTTGTGTGGTCTGTGCTGAACTGCCTATTCCCGCCCTGTGTATCAGCCCGCGGCCAGGTGTACCTATGTGTTTGTGTGGTCTGTGCTGAACTGCCTATTCGCGCCCTGTGTATCAGCCCGCGGTCAGAGTGTATGTGTTTGTGTGGTCTGTGCTGAACTGCCTATTCCCGCCCTGTGTATCAGCCCGCGGCCAGGTGTATGTGTTTGTGTGGTCTGTGCTGAACTGCCTATTACCGCCCTGTGTATCAGCCCGCGGCCAGGTGTACCTATGTGTTTGTGTGGTCTGTGCTGAACTGCCTATTCCCGCCCTGTGTATCAGCCCGCGGCCAGGTGTATGTGTTTGTGTGGTCTGTGCTGAACTGCCTATTCCCGCCCTGTGTATCAGCCCGCGGCCAGGTGTATGTGTTTGTGTGGTCTGTACTGAACTGCCTATTCCCGCCCTGTGTATCAGCCCGCGGCCAGGTGTATGTGTTTGTGTGGTCTGTGCTGAACTGCCTATTCCCGCCCTGTGTATCAGCCCGCGGCCAGGTGTATGTGTTTGTGTGGTCTGTGCTGAACTGCCTATTCCCGCCCTGTGTATCAGCCCGCGGCGGGGTGTATGTGTTTGTGTGGTCTGTGCTGAACTGCCTATTCGCGCCCTGTGTATCAGCCCGCGGCGGGGTGTATGTGTTTGTGTGGTCTGTGCTGAACTGCCTATTCGCGCCCTGTGTATCAGCCCGCGGCGGGGTGTATGTGTTTGTGTGGTCTGTGCTGAACTGCCTATTCGCGCCCTGTGTATCAGCCCGCGGCGGGGTGTATGTGTTTGTGTGGTCTGTGCTGAACTGCCTATTCCCGCCCTGTGTATCAGTCCGCGGCGGGGTGTATGTGTTTGTGTGGTCTGTGCTGAACTGCCTATTCCCGCCCTGTGTACCAGCCCGCGGCTAGTGGCCTGTCTGTGTGACGGTAGCTGACGGCTGGCGTTCCCACATGTGCTTTTAGGTATTGGACGCCATCGGAGCGCCAGGAGCCGGCCGGTGACGGGCCACGCGCCCTGCAGGGATCCAACACCCGCCATATACGCCTGATCAGCACTACATGCCAGAACAGAACTACATATTGTATTCATACAGCGGGAGGTCACTGAACTTCTCAACACTGAGCGCTGCTGGGTGATAATATATTCTCCATAAAATTAGGTCGATTTTTTTTTTTAATAGACTACTTTTCAGAGCAGAAGGAGAAAAAAGGAGAATTTAGCTGCAAAAGTTCAGCGGGTCCGTCAAAGCCGGAAACAGCTTGCTCCACCAAACTCACCTCAACTGCGTGCGGCAGCTCCCACCAACCGCAGACCAAGCCCGTACTATGCTGTAGTAGTACCATCCCCAGACCACTCGAGTCTCATAATATCGAGCGCTGGAGGGAGCCGAACCCGGACTCTCACTATACCTACCGGGAGTCCAGCACCTTACCTACAGGGTGTCCCAGAATTGACCGAACATTTAGTTCCTGGCTAAAAGTACGATTGCGCTCGATTCTAATTAGATGCGAGCATTATACTTTTATAACACATACCTTAGCTATCGAGCTTGGAGACTGTGTGTTTTTGATGACCGGTGATGACTCGAGTCAGTTATCCAGAGTCAGCAAAGAGTCCCTTTGGCAATAGTCCCTTTTCGTTTTCAGCCTCAGCAAACAAAAGGCAATCATGGGGAATAAAGTGCAATTCTGAAGTTCGCAAACGGACTTTCGGCATGGTTCTTGCTGGAGAGCTCCAGTATAGCTCATTTGCAAGCAGGCAGGGGTGAGCAAACCGCAGTTATATCAGCGAGCGAAGACAGAGAGAGCAAGAGATAACCTGATAACACGATAACGGTTGAAAGCACACGCTAGCCTGAGATATTCCTCATTTTCCTCATCCGCCGATTTTACCATAGTCTATGTAGGGGAGACCCGGGAGGTATGGGCCATCGCTGTTTTGAAGAAGTGTTGCGTATTTTTACACATTTAACCGCGTAAACTGGCAGCAAGTTTGAGTCTACTCATATTTTCATTGAGCCGCCTGAGTCATGCGTCGAGTCAAGGGAACAATCAGCTCCTTGTTTGAGTCAGAGTTGAGTCAGGGCTTTTTTATTCAGGCCTCCCTCCAACGGGCACTTGTGTCCCATTTACAGGAGGGCTCCTCCTCCTTCTGGCCCTTGTTCCCCCGCCCCCCAGGCTACGGCTGAAGTGGGAGCCTACCCCACACCTGGTGACACAGCCGGGGTCGACGCCCGCGGAACGGGCGGAACCGGGAATCGAACCCGAATCCGGCACCGCCCGCACCGCGGGTCGACGCCCTAACCGACTGCGCCACCAGGGCCGTCGGTTCCAGAAGTTGAATGATGAGTCGGCAAATTTTTTTAGTCGAGCACAACCCTGCGTCCCTGTCACTATACCTCCACCCACCCCTCCCACGGCCACACTCTGCCGCGCCGCGCCGGCCAGAAGCCCCGCGGTCAACCCCTCCCCACTTCTGACCCGCCCGATTCTCGCCTGTCAGAGAAAGAGCCTCTATTGGTCGATGCTGGTGTCCCGATCATCAGTGGCTACACTCTACTGGAGGGTTCAGCAATGACACTTACTAATGGCGTGGTACGCACGTGCGTACTGCGTAGGTTTACAACTCTCTGTTCAGTGGCGGTCACAGAGATTGAACTCCGGGGTGCCCCGAATGGTGTGAATATTCCCGTTTTCGATTATAGCGAGCATTCTGTGGCAGGTGGAACTGTGACGAGTTAGAGAAAGTTGTCCAACTGGAACACGAATCTGTGCGATACTTGCCTTTGATGATAGGCCTCACCATTAATGATTGGTGCTAGGTTTTGTCCGATTACAGTATATGCGCGCATTACTTCAGCGGTGACCTGTACGTACTACGTACGTACCAAAAAGCAAACACAGACTAAAACTTTCAACATAATTCTCATGCTCATCCTTTTATTGAGGTTATAGACCTAGACGACAGATTAAAAAAAGAAATTTACACAAAAAGAAAGAAAAAAGAGAACAGAACAGAACGCCCAACATAGGAAAAGCCAATAGGGCGCCGGCAGATGGCGCGCCGGTCGGCTCCGTTCGGCAGATGGCGCGCCGGTCGGCTCCGTTCGGCAGATGGCGCGCCGGTCGGCTCCGTTCGGCAGATGGCGCGTCGGTCGGCTCCGTTCAGAGGTGTCCGGTGTGGCGGGTGGGGCACGCCGCGCCGTTCAGAAATTGCAGAATGTGTGGCACGTGGCGAACGCAGAGGCGACCTCGGACACCGCCGACCGGCTGTGCTCCGGCAAACTGGGGAAACACGCACGCGGGAGGGCCTGATCAGCTGCCGGCTGCTGACTCGCTGTGCAGTGCGTGTTCTTGCCACGCCTGCACACGGAGGGCCGGTCGGAGCCGGGTGGTCTGCCCGAGCGGCTCGGGCCCCCAGTACTGCAGTGACTGGATGGCGGCGCCTCGCCCCTCCTGTACACTCAGCGCTCCGCTCCACCTGTACATTCGGCGCCCCGCCCCACCTGAACAGTGGGCGCTCCACCTGTAGGGGAGCCTGGGGTAAGATGCCCCATATAGTTTACTTTGCTAAATAACTTAAGTCCCACATCACTTGAATGGTCAACTTTGTGCTCAGTGCGTTGTTGGGACATTTTACTTTAAATTCCACCCCTCAAATTTATTTACGTGTGTTTGGACTCCAAGTTAGGAAGTGATTTGTAAAGCAACTGCAAATGGGGCATTTTGCCCCACCCCAGGGCTAAACTTCCCTCGACATGGGGCAGGAGCCCCATACTCTAGGTTAAAAATTAAGCATGGTAGCTGGCTAAATCTTATATGAGAGATCCGCTAGACCTCTGGAGTACAAGTCACCAGCAGTTGCTACCCATCCCCTCGGACGGCGGGGGAGCAAGCTACCACCGCCCCTGCGAGACTAGCGCCGCCATGCGCCAAGAAGTGGAAACACACGTGACTGAGGCCACGTGAGGGCAGGGTCACGTGATGGAGGGGCGGAGCATAGTAGCTTTTGCGCCCGACACTAACTGAAATGCGCGCTGTGATGGGCGCCTTACATGAATGAAGCCCCGGCGCCAGATCAGCCGTTCGCTATATGGAAAGTGAGCCTTTGCGTTTCACTGTTCTGTATTGGTTTGAGAGCCACGCACCATACGAATTGAGAGCCCCTTTGAACGGGTCACCGCCCGAGGCACTGAGCGACGACTGTGCCGGGCAAAGTCTAGCCTGGTGGGAGAGTTGGCCAG